ACTAGGCCATTTTTGTCTGATTTCATGCCTTTTAAAACATGCTTCTAAGACTACAATTAAGAAAACGTGATCATTTCATACTCGGCCACCTGTCATTCAAACAGTGCCCAGAGTCTGACGAAGCCCATTTGTAACCTGTGGATTTAGCTACAGGCTCCTGCATCCCATACGTTCTATGGTCTATAAAATTCCTCAGGTAAGTGGACAGAGTATCTGTTCAGAATTGGTTGATCAATAAGGCAATTCAAGAAGACCAAAACTGCTATAAATTATATATGGAATGCCTGCAATAGGGAGTCAAGCACAGATCTGGATTCTCCAAAGCCAACCTGGAAGTCCCTCACCTGCTTGTCTGCTCACGGAAGACAAAAGAGATCACAGAGGCATCTAGTTAAAAACTCTGCAGCCCTGGCCCCTGCAGAGAGCCCTGGAATTGTGCAAATGGCAGTAAGAACCCACAGCAGGAGATGCCGGAGGAATGTGTGGACACCTAATGCAAAACACTTCCTGTACTTAGATTCTCTACAGACATAGCCTTGATTTCTGGTTCCTTAGTGGTTAGCGTCTGTCATGGCTGACTATGGAAACTTTACAGGCTAGGAAAGGACTCCTGGAGAGAAGGAACAGCAGCAACGTGAACATGTAAACACAATTCACAACTACTTACTGGGCATCTACCACGTGCCCCGCTCTACAGGACTGTGTGAAAGGAAAGACAAAGAGGAAGGAGACAAGCCCTGTCTGCAAGGAGCTTACAGGCTAGTCGTGGGGAGATGAACATGCATCTCTCCTGTATTTTAGCTGGAACTGATATAGTCACACAATTCTTTGTTGCAGTATATGTCCGTCACTGCTTCGTACACTCAACACCACTTTTCATTTTCACCACATCCTTGAGGGAGGTAAAGCAAAGACGGTTGTTCTCATTTTCAGATGAGGAAACTAACATGCAGAGAGGCTGAGTGACTGGCTCAGGGCCCCACAGGAGATATAGTGGCTGAGCTGAATAAGAACACAGGTCCCTTGACTCTGGGCTGCTTCTCCTTCTACTAATCCATAATAGCCAAGGCACATGAGAGAAACCTAGCTTGGCCTTGTGGCTTCACTTTCAATATAAAAGGCAACAAATGAGTGAGAAAGCTTAACAAATGAAAAGAAACTAGACCACAATGCATTACAGATGCAGATTTTTAGAATAAAAAACATATATATCTGGCTTCACTAAATACTTACTAAAGAAAAAGCTAGAAAGTTCCAGGAGAAGAAATAACATTCTAGCACCACATGGGGGATGAAACAGATGAGAAATAAATACATATCTAATAATTTGTGGTAGACTCGTTTCCCTAGGTTGTCTGGGAATAAATCGATATCTTAGAACTTCACTGTAGCGTTTCTGTTCTCTATAAATTGAAGTTGTGTCCCTGGGGAGTTCACCATATTAAGAAAATGCGATTGTTACCACAACTGGCTATATTTCTGAAATGAGTACAACTTCCTACTCATTTTTTTAAAAGCTAGTGATTCAAAATAATCAGGTTGCCACAACACGTTACCCTCTTTCTTAAATGGACTTAACTGGTACAGAGTCAATCGGATCATTAAAAACCATCTTGTCCAAGCCCTTTATTTTCTGATGGGAAAACCAAAGGCAAGAAAAGGGAGAGTTAGTTGACAGTCTGATTGTAGCCCAAGTTTTTGGAGCAGTGGTCCTATCTTATAGCTACAGCTTGCCTTTAGGAGAGTATAGACCTTCAGATAAACTTAGATAAAGGTACCAAGATGGGCTGTTGTTCTTTCTTTAAGAACCACAGCGTTCAGCTTGCTTAGAGTCCGGAAGTCAGGGGCCACACTCACATCTCACCTGAACTGAAACAGCTCATGAGAGGAGGCTGAGGGAACACGGCGTGGCTGGCCTCATAGATCTCTGCATATTGTCCGTAATAACCTCCAGGACCGTGAGCCAAAACCAGCTCTGACTATTCAAGCTGTCTGCCAACCCATTATCAAAATTACTCAAACTGTCCACGGTGGAGGCAAACAACTACCAACAGCAATACAATAAAGAGAAAGAAGTGAAACCCAGACACTCAAGCCAGCAAACAATGCCCTAAAACAGCTGTCAATCAGCAGAAACGTAACAGAAATGTCCTGCATGTATTGTACTTGTACAGAGAGGATAACCAAGAACTTGCAGGGATCACCAAGGTGACGGGATGTACACAAGATGAGGTTACGCCAGGACAATTAGGAACCAACTGCAGACCCCCAAATCCACTCACTCATGCAGGGAGGGTAAGAAAAGACAAATGAGTTAGTGATAAGAAACTTCCTTTGGTACATCAGTGAACTAAATAGCCCAGGGTCTACATTTCATATGGAGCCCTGGTAGTGCAGTGGTTAAGGGGTTGGATGCTAACCAAAAGATCAGCAGTTCGAATCGACCAGCCAGTCCTTGGAAACCCTATGGGGCAGTTCTACTCTGTCCTATAGGGTTGCTATGAGTCGGAATTGACTTGATGGCAATGGTTTTTTTGTTTTAAAATATTTTATACGGTAATCTTGTCAGAAGAAAAGACTGAATGCCTGAGTAATTTATACCACTCACACATGCCCCTGACATAGACAGAGTCTGAGAAGCGGGGATTCCTAGTGTGGCCCCTCTAATTGGAATTGAAGACAGAAACGCCTTTTGAAGTAACTTAGGCTGCAAAGTATTTGAACTGTTCAAACAAAAGCTAATATTTGTGTGCTTTTTGGGCTAGAACTAATGACCACTAGGACACAGTCTGAATAAAGAGTCCTTTGGTTTTGCATGTAACCATTTTCTATTTCAATAACTTGTTATTCAACATAATATTGTCCATATGCATGGTATAATTCAGCTATCAAACTAGATGATAAAATCTTACCGGAAATCTCTTTATTATAAGAGATTCAGTACACCAATCCCTCCGCATCTATGAATTTTTATTATTAAAAATAAAATAACCCCAGCATGTTGTAATTTGCCGTGTGGTATCTGTAGCTACTATAAGAGTTATATGTGAATTGTGAGGGATTCCTGCTTGAGATAATTAGAAAAAGAGAGTACTGGGGATTGAGAGAGCATAAATAAGGCTTGTAGGAAAGGAAAGGTTAGCCTGCTTTCTGAGAGAAGACTTGGAAGAGGTAGGGGGGAGCAGAGGCTAAGTCAGTCTAGACCTTGACTCTGAACTGGTGACTCTGTGAGTCTTGGCATGAACTTGTCATGGGCCAAGCAGAGAGTGGGAAAGAGAACTGAGCTGCACCTGCTCAGCCTTGTCAGTCCCAGCTACTTTACATCTCTGAGGCCACCTTGGGCCCAAGGAATTAGGAGCCAAGACCCTAAGTCGTAAAACCAGAAAGCAATGTGATGTATGATCAGGCGGGAGAGAAAAGCTCATTATCATGCTGTATCTGCAATCAGGCAATATCAATTTACAAGCATCTCACTGAAGTTATGGAGATGAGAGACTAGACATTTCCAATGAGATAAGAATGACTTGAGTCATATATGATCCATTTCTATTTACTTAAGATGTATAAAATAGAATTTTCATGTCCTTTATTTAGTGTGCTATTTTCATTGTTTTCATTTGAATGAAAATTTAAGAACTTGTATGGGCTTATTTGTGGTGATGCCTAAATTCTCCTTTTCCTAACTGGTAAATTCTCCTATCATAGGGATTTGGGGAGCCTGGCCCCAATGGTGACCCTATTGGATGGTCCATTGTGACCAAAGGACCATGAGACAGACCCATGACAGTCTCTGAAAATACAACGAAGTGAGACCGGAGGACTTTGCCTTTTCCTCTTATTTTGATGCTCATTAGCTAACTCACATCTTACACGTTTCATATGCTCTGATCTGAGCCATGCAGGGCGCCCTTCTCTCCCCAAATCTCTCCTTGCAGAGGCGCTAGGCAGCCATGGGTCCAGGAGGGCCGACCCATTGTTTGGCAGTGGGTAAGAAAAGCCCTAAGGTTTTGCTTTATTTTGCAAAATGGGTATACAGTCTACAAACTTGCATTGAAAATGCACAAACAGATAACAAATGGCTGTTTTATCTGTGTGTCACAACTTAAAAATAAGAGTAGTAGGAACCAAAAACTCAAAGGACGTGAGGTAAAATTCCCCGAGAAAACACTCTCTGACCAAATACCTAAGTGTCCACCCCATGTTGCTTACCGCCATGCACACTGCAGCTATTGACCCCTGGAGCACAGCTCCGTTCACAGAGACCACCACGGGAACAAACCCGGTACAGGGGCCCTGCAGAGGAGCTAGTGCCCCCAGGTGGCTGCTATCACCACAGTGGGCCTTGGAAGATGCTGTTGTTTAGTTGCTGTCCGGGCAGCTCCGATTCGTGACGACCCCATGTACAGTGTTGCCTGGTCCTGCACCACCTTCATGATCATTGGTATGCTCAAGTCCACTATGGCAGCCTGTGTATTTTGAGTACCTTCTACCCTAGGGGGCTTACCTTCCAGCTATACTGTATAAATTCTGTTGTGATCCATAGGATTTTCAGTGGCTAATTTTTGGAAGTAGACTCCAGGCCTTTCTTCCTACTCTGTCTTAGTCTGGAAGCTCCACTGAGACCTGCACACCATGGCTCAGTCTGCTGGTATTTGAAATACCAGTGGCATAGCTTCCAGCATCATAGAAACATGCAAGCCACCATAATATGATAAACTGACAGGCAGGTGATGGCTGGGAAGATAAGGGAAGACCCATTTCAGCATGCCATATAATTTGCAGCTCTAAAGCAGACCTCTTTGCTGTCCAAAGCAGTTGATGCCGGCAATACACATTGTTTGCTTGGATCTGTGTGTCTATTCTCTGATTTCTCCCAGTTCCATTTTCAAGGTTTCAAACTCTGACTCCAAAGAATCTGGAGGTGTTTTACATGTGTAACAACTTTAAAAGCTGAATTTTTAAAAATTTCTTAAAAGCACTCAACGAGGCCACTGAATTACCTGTGCATGCTTTGAGACCCAGTGACGGAGAACATTCAGGACTCGATTGGTGGCTGTCCTACGTATAATGAACTCCTTGTCGCACGTTCTCTCGGTGTTGTTAAATCCTTAGGAGGAGGAGAAACATACACACATTGTAGTTAAAGCCAATCCTTAGGAACCTGCAAAAGGTCACTTACTTTAGGACATTGGTTAACGAAAGCCAAGGATGGCATATCTTGGCGTAGAGATGCAAGTGGTTTCAGACTGTTGTAAATTCAGCTTACCTATTATACTCTCAGCAGCATGTTACAGGTGCAATTAAATGAATAATGTTCACTTATTTATTAAAGGCCACTGATTAAAGCTAAGCTGGTCTAAAGAGACTTCTATTTACGCCTGTCTTGTTCTATAATATAAAGCCAAGAAGGAGCTTTAACAATGTATTTGAATCAGCATTAGTTTATGCTCTTGCCCCAAAGTGATTATATAACCAACAGCATTTTCAATATTTGTGGATGGATGATAAGCCCATACCTTGGCCCACAGATTATATAAATACTTTACGGTATATTCACATAGTGAGAAGTAACATTGCATATGGTTAAGAGTGGGTTCCAAAGCCAGACTACCTGGGGTCAAATCCCTGTTCTCCCACCTGGCAAGGTATTTCACCTCTCTGGTGACCAGTTTCCTCATATGTATAGTGGGATAATAAATATACCCACCTTGTAGAATTGTGGGTATTAAAGGAGTTAAGCATTTAAAATGACACCTGGAACACAGTGAGAGCTCAGTAAATGTTGGCTATTATTACAACTCAATATTGGTTCAGTGTCTGAGTTCTTTCTGTGCTAGCCTACCTTTCCATCTTGGTGACCTTCTTACTACCCAGAAACTGTTTTAATATTTTTCTACTTCTTCCCTATTTTAAAATATTTTGTCTTCCAATCATAGTTAAGTGATACATTTCCTTTGAAAATTAATTAAAGCCTCATATAACTTTACCAGCAAACTTCTCTTAAGAGTTGTATGTACTCACTGACTCGATTTCCTCATTTCCTACTCTCTCTACATCCTATTCCAAGCTTCTGGCCCCATCTCTCCACCAAAACAGCTTCCATTAAGATCACTAACAATCTCCATGTCCCCATAGCCAAGCGACAGACTATAAAAAAACAAAACAAAACAAAACCCAAACTCGTTGCCGTAGAGTCAATTCCAACTCATAGCAACCCTACAGGACAGAGAACTGCCCCAAAGGGTTTCCAAGGAGCGGCTGGTGCATTCGAACTGCTGACCTTTTGGTTAGTAGCTGTAGCTCTTAACCACTGTGCTACCAGGAAATCTCATTTAAGCCTACCACTTAAATGATCAACTATAAGCAAACGACTCACACATTTATATCCCCAGATATCTTTTCTGAGCTCCAGACCCATATATCCAACTGATACTTACCTCTTTGCTGTTTTAAAAATATCTCAAACTCAATACGTCCAAAAGAAAAACCCATGACCTTTCCACAAAACCTTGTCTTCTCCTAGCGTACCCTATCTCAGTAAAGAATCATCGGCATCCATCTAATTAATATAAGTGGAAACTCTGGAATTATTCTTGACTCATCTCTCTCCTCCTTCCTGAAAATTTTACCTGCAAAATAAATCTCTCCCAAATGCGTCTACATCTTTCTATCTATAAAGCCCACACCAGAGATGAGCTACCAGCAACTCTCATCTGGCCTACTGCAATCACCTCCCAAATGGCTCCACTTTCACGCTTGCCCTCCTCAGATCTGTTCTCCTCATTGCATTCAGAAGGATCTTTTCACAGGGAAAATTAGAATGTGTCATTCCTGTGTTTAAAGCCTGTCAATGGTTCTTATGATAAATACAAAACTCTTTAACATGGCCTACAAGTTCTTCCACGGTTTGGCCCCTAGTGCCTTCCCCAGCCTCTTCTGGAATCATGTTCTTCTCATGATTTCCCCTACTGTTTCACCATCCTTCTTTTAGTCTTTCATCCTCATCCCAGCGCCTTTGCACATGCTGTTCCATGGAGCAATTATCGCTCCCCTTTTCACCTAGTGAACATCCATTCCTGCTTCTTATTTCACTTCCCCAAGTGAGATCTTCCTGGTCTGAGTTAGACAAATCAGCATTACATATCTCACAGTACCGTGTACATTTCCTTTATAGCACTTATTACATTTGCAATTTTACATTTATTTATGTGAGTATCTGATCAACGCTGTGTTCTCCATAAAAACACTGATCATGTATGTTTTTACTGAGCATGGGCACATGCTACACACAATATATATTTGCTAAATAAATGAATGGAAGTCTGAATAGTAAGAGCTTGTTCTTGTTGTTGTATGCCATCGAGTTCATTTCAACTCACAGCGACTGTATGTGACAGAGCAGAATGGTGGGTGTCCTAGGCTTTATGGGAGCCGATCGCCAGGCCTTTGCTCCTGTGGAGCTGCTGGTTGGTTTGAACCACCGACCCTTTGGTTAGCAGCCTCTAGCACTTAACCATTGCACCACTAGGGCTCCTTTTAGTAAGAGATTACTGACTATTTATTGAATTCCTTAAATGTAGACAGGCATCTTCCACCCACCAGTAGACACTTAAATTCTGTCAGAGGATGGTGATGATGTACTCTTGGCAGAATAGATATCTTAAAAAACTTTCTGCTATTAAAAACTTCCAAATTCTGGGTAAAATATAATAAATACTCTTTTAAATGCTTAGCTGAATTCTTAAGAAAGCAAGGAATTTTCCAGGGCCAAACAACAAAGGGATCTTAAAACCAGAACCAAGCCCTGGAACTAATACTGTGTCTGCCCTGGGGGAGGCAGGTTACCAGTCTCAATAAGGTAGGATTTGGATTGTAACTGTCATGTGGGTTCAGGAGAAGAGGCCTTAGGACCTTCATGGAGTGGGGCTGGGGGTGCTGGAACTGAGACTCCCACATAAAGCTGGAACTCTCAAAGGACCACCCGCTCTGTGAAAGAGTAGACTAGGAAAACAATTTTCCTACCTACCCAAGGAGACAATGAAGAAATGTGTCTGCCTCAGCCTGGATCTCAAATGGGGGCAGCCGGTCGGGGGGAAGCTTCCCTGAGAGTTGATAACCATTGGCCCACCTCATGTAGGTTTGAAATTCAGATGGAACCACTATCTAGTGGTCAGCCCCTCTAGATGAGATGGTAAAATAAAAAGTGACCTAGGGCACAGGGTTTCTTTTAAAGGTGGTGGATTAACTAGGAAAAGGATCATGGTGATGGCTGTACAACATGATGAATGTAATCAGTGTCACTGAATTGTACGTGTAAAACTTGTTGAATTGGCAAAAGATTTGTTATATATATTTTTATTACAATAAAAATAATTTAAAAATATGAAATGGCCCAGGCCAATGATAACCCTAGAACTCCCAACAAAAGAACAGTCTATACCTCCCTGGAGGGACACCCACCCAACCTCAAACTGCACAGGATTACCACCTATAAAGCTCCTGAAGAAAAACTCACAATCTAAAATTACAAAACACATAAGCCATCCACCATGAGCAAGAATCATGCTCTATCTATAAGACACTATAAACACAGAGATCAGGAACCTGCTGCCATCCTCCACCACTACCACCATCACCAAGAATTTAAGGTATTTATAGTTTAAACATCTGAAAATTCCAATGTTTAAAAAGACCAATGATATCAGAGTGGGAACTGACAACATGAGAAAAAAAAAAACTTATTTCAGAAGTCAGATTTTACAAAAAACACAAAACTTCTTGAGATTAATAGAACTATTCTTCCAAATATTCTTGAAAAATTGAAATTTAAAACCCAACAGATAGGTAAATGTAGATTAGACCCAGCAGAATAAAGGGAGAGTAGACTGGAAACATATGAAAAACAGATCTGAGAAAATTACTCAAAATGCAACACAAAAAGCTAACAAGATGGAAAACAGAAAAGCTGAGTTAAAAGAAATAGGGGAAAGGATAAGAATTTTCAACATTAAGTGTAGCTGGAGTGTCAAAAGAAGAGACAAAAAAAATCTGAGCGAGGTAATGTATGAAAAGGACTTTCTAGACTTGAAAGACATAAATCTGCAGATTCAGGAATCACAGTGAATCCCAAGTAGGATAAATAAGACGAAAACCACTCCTAAACTGTGCAATGGTAGAACTCCAAGGCAAAGATATAGTTGAAGCAACAAGAGAGAAAAAATATGTGATCTATAATGAAAAGGAGATGAAGTGGATGGGAAATGGCATGGTAAATAAGAAGCAGCCGATTAAAAGGCTCGGAAGTCATATTAATCAAATTGGAGCTGAGGCCTCAATTGAAGTTGGAGCTAGTGAACAAGAAGTCAGCACCTTGCTGAAGGATCAAAGTCAAAAGCTCTTGACATACTCTGAAAGTGGGATGAGGCAAAGGTCTCCTCCTCCACTGATACAAATATTCATGATGTTGCTCTGGTTAGGTGCCTTCAAGTCGGTTCCAACTCATAGTGACCCTATGTACCACAGAACAAAACACTGCCTGGTCCTGTGCCATCCTCACAAATGCTGCTATGTTTGAGACCATTGTTACAGCCACTGCATCAATCCGTCTCCTTGAGAGTCTTCCTCTTTTTTGCTGACCTGCTACTTTACCAAGCACGACATCCTTCTCCAGGGACTGGTCCCTCCAGATAACACATTCAAAGTAACATAAGACGAAGTCTTGCCATCCTCACCTCCAAGGAGCTGTACTTCTTCCAAGACAGATTTGTTCATTCTTCTGGAAGTCCATAGTCTATTCAATATTCTTCACCAACACCACAATTTAAAGGCATCAATTTTTCTTCTGTCTTCATTATTCATTGTCCGGATTTTCTATGCATATGAGGTGACTGAAAATACCATGGCTTGGGTCAGGTGCACCTTAGTCCTGGAAGTGACATTTTTGCTTTTCAACATTTTTGCTTTTCAACATTTTTAAGAGTCCTTTGCAGCAGATTTGCCCAGTGCAATGTGTCGTTTGATTTCTTGACTGCTGCTTCCACGGGTGTTGATTGTGGATCCAAGTAAAATGAAATCCTTGACAACTTCAATATTTTCTCTGTTCATCAT